CCTTGGGTTATAACCATGCATTTCAAGTTTCATCAAAATTGGATTAAAATTGTGACCTCTACAGGGTCAAAACCTTGATATACGGCGTAACGGTGATATAATCAAACGTTTTTTTATATCGGATAATAATTGTGATCTCCAGAGGGACCACAAGATAAAAAGATTTTTTGAAGTGATCAAGGGCCATAACTCTGTCAATATGCTTCTTCGTCTCATGACCTTAAACACTGTGTATAAATTTAAAGTCAATCGGATATTAACTTTAGCCTCTAGAGCGTACACAAGATTTTTTGAAATGATCCAGGGCCATAAAGCGATTTTTCGTACAATCAGGGGCCGCAATTCAGGAAGTTACGATCCGACATGTGCAAATATTGAAAGGAACCAAGATCCTTGGGTTATAACCATGCATTTCAAGTTTCATCAAAATTGGATTAAAATTGTGACCTCTACAGGGTCAAAACCTTGATATACGGCGTAACGGTGATATAATCAAACGTTTTTTTATATCGGATAATAATTGTGATCTCCAGAGGGACCACAAGATAAAAAGATTTTTTGAAGTGATCAAGGGCCATAACTCTGTCAATATGCTTCTTCGTCTCATGACCTTAAACACTGTGTATAAATTTAAAGTCAATCGGATATTAACTTTAGCCTCTAGAGCGTACACAAGATTTTTTGAAATGATCCAGGGCCATAACTCTGGCAGTAATTATCGAAAATTGCTGAAAATCAATAGGCTTCTTCGTCTCATGACCTTAAACACTGTGTATAAATTTAAAGTCAATCAGATATTAACTTTAGCCTATAGAGCGCCCACAAGCAATTGTGGACGCCGGACCAGCGGACGGACGGGGGCAACGACAATATACAACCACATTTCAATGTGAGCACATAAAAAGGCGATTTTTTGTACAATCAGGGGCCATAATTCAGGAAGTTATGATTTGATATGCGCAAATATCGAAAGGAACCAAGATCTTTGGGTTATAAAGATTCATCAAAATCGGATTAAAATTGTGACCCCTACTGGGTCCACAACCTTGATATACCATATTTTTACACCATTTTGTCCGACAGTTTTGGTCACATTTTCACGAAATTCAAACTCAACCTTCATTACAGTGGAACGGTGATATACTAAAACATTTATTTGAAATCGGATAAAAATTGTGACCTCTGGAGGGACCACAAGCCAAAAGCGCGATTTTTCGTACAATCAGGGGCCATAATATCGAAAGGAACCAAGATCTTTGGGGTATCAACATGCATTTCAAGTTTCATCAAAATCGGATCAAAACTGTGACCTCGAGAGTGTCCACAAGCTAAAAACGTGATTTTTCGACAATCAAGGGCCATAATCCATGAAGTTACGGTCCGATACATGCCAATATCAAAAGGAACCGAGATCTTAGGGCAATAAACCTATCTTTCAAGTTTCGTTGAAATCGGATAAAAATTGTGACCTGTAGAGTGTCTACAAACAAATTATTGTGGACTGGCGGACAGACAAACAGGGGCGACGGCATAATACGTCCGCATGAAAATGTGGGCATATAAAAACAAGCCAACATTGAGGCGGATGTCTTCTGCCTAAATTCCGAAATAAATATACAACACATTAATTAATTGTAGGTTTATCTTTTTCAAAAGTATCGACTATCTACTAAGTTTCATCACTGTCTATCAGATAGAATCAAAGTCATAGAAATTGCTAGGCTCTGATTAGCCTTAGCAGGAAATGTTAATCATTGAACTCAGTCAAGACATTCACCTAATGAACACCAACATCGAGTTTAAACATTCTACCTCAATTAAAAGCAGAGTTGTTATGTTCCAAAGTCTTGACCAATCAAATTGCTTATTGCTCCTTAGCCTAAGCAGAAAATTCTTATCAAACTTAGTCAATTTAATGATACACGGAGTTTCATAGCTCTGAATTATAACCAAAGTTATCGTGCCCAAAAGCATAAACCAATCAAATTGCTTATCTCAGCTTACCCTAAGCACACAATGCTCATCATCGAACTCCATCGAGGCATTCACCTAATGAATGCCAAAACAAGTTTGAGCATTCTCCCTCAATTACAAGGAGAGTTATTGTGTTTCAAAGTCTCGACAAATCAAATTGCTTATCACTCTGCTTACCCTCAGCAGAGGCAGAAAATGTTCATTATCGAATTTAGTATCAGTGATGGGATTTCAAAATCTTTCTTGTCAGACATTTTACCGAAAATAAAGGGGCATAACTCTTATCGTTATTTAAGCAGACGGATTCATACCACAATTAAAAATCATGTGTCAACAAAATATTCAAATCCTGCACGTAATAAAAATAAGTGAACCTTGCTATTTTTTCATTTTTAATCCCCGTTCGGTAATCAAATTTATGTTGGTAACATTCCTACAAAATAACTCATTTTCGCAATACACTGAATGAAAGCTTGCCGATCCTGCTTCGGTATCAAATTCACAATAGTAGGCTCAATATTCCTGCAAAATTCTGTGTCTTCATTTATACGGCAGCAAATGAATGCACAACTTCTGGAATAAGAATCGTTGTCTTCTTTATACCAGCGGTTGCCAGGCAGGATACGCCCACATTTTCGAGAGATGGATAGAGAACAAGCTAAAAAGAAAGTGATTTTTCCTACAATCAAGGGCCATAATTCAGGAAATTACAATTCGATATGCGCAAATATCGACAGGAACCGAGATCTTTGGGTTATAAACTTACATTTCAAGTTTCAAGAAAATCGGATAAAAATTGTGACCTCTATAGGGTCCACAACCTTGATATACCATATTTTTTTGCTATTTGAGAACGAGGGGCGGCCATTTTGTCTGTCAGTTTGATAGATTAGATTGATAGATTGATGAATTGTCTGATAAAAGAGTAAATCAGTCAATCATGGCAGATTAAGAGGTTAATCAAGGTAAGTGTATATACGGTGTAACATGATAAATACATTGATTACTTAATTACCTAATCAATCTAGCCTGTTATTAACGATAATCGTGTTGAGTGGTAGTTATACACCCAGTTCACTGTATTAATTTTGGAATTTTGAATATTATTCACCATATCTTATGTCTGATTGGGCATATTACTGGTCGGACAATTTTGGACGTTCGAAAAATAGCGTTGGACATGTCCGGAATATACGGGCGAAATCCCATCACTGCAAGGTATTGATGTGATAAAACTATACACCAAGTTTCATCACTCTCACTTAATTAGAACTAAAGTCAGCGTGTCCCAAAGCATCAACCAATCAAATTACTTATCTCTGCTTACCCTAAGTAGAAAATGCTCATCTTCTAACTCCCATCAAGGCATTGACCTAATAAACAAATACACCAAGTTTGAACATTTTAGCTCAACTAGAAGGAGAGTTATTACCCTAAGCAAAAAATGTTCATTATCGAACTTAGTCAAGGTATTGACGTAATGAAACTGTACACCAAGTTTGATCACACTCACTTAATCAGAATTAAAGTTATTGTGTCCCAAAGCATCAACCAATCAAATTACTTATCTCTGCTTACCCTAAGCAGAAAATGCTCATCTTCGAACTCCATCAAGGCATTGACCTAATGAACACCTACACCCACATGGAGAGTTATTGTGTCCCAAAATTTGTGACTGACAGACAGACGGATGAAAAGGCTGGGGACAAAAAATAACCTTATAGAGCTACCATATTGTACCTCAATTTTCACCGGACCTTAAGAATGGAATGTGACACAATTACTTGGCATCATTTTAGGAGTTGCCAAGTAATAAAACAAGCAAACGTAGAGGTTGGTGTCCCCCCCCTACCTTAATCCCTATATAAATAAATGACACTCTTAAAGGGGAAGACCAATGATTTTCAACAAGGCTTCCATAAATCTTAAATATATATTGATAAATAATCCCCTCTGTAACACAAGCAAAGAAGTTTTTGTAAGCGAGAAATTAATTTTTATTAAACCGGAAGTGACATAGTTGGTTCAACACGTTCACTGGTCTCTATAGTAAGCATGCAGATTTGGCACAAGTTTACTGCTGTATTGTGTTCACGCGTCGTCCTTTGGCCAAAAATCTGATCAAATGGGTTGTTTATTAGGATATTATAAACACGAATTTGTGTTTTTTTAACGTTTAGTACACAAAGCCGTCTCGGAAATTCACTCATACTGAACAGTACGCTGTGCCTCAATTCACGCCACATGGCTAATTGTTTACATCACGTGGTTTGATTGACAGCTTGCAAGTGAGAGATGTTTCGTCTGCTTGAATGTTTTTGCGCGTGCTGAGTCTGCTGACATTGTTTTTATTTATTTCAACGAACTTGTGGCACATATATATTCAAATAAATATATGTCAACGTCAAACACCAACGTATTGGAATATAAAATATCTGTTCTATGGGTCTACAGTAATGCCGTATAAACATTCGACCCAAGCCATTCTCAAGAGGAAATGGAAGAAAAAAGGAAAAGCCGTTCACGTCGACATTATGTGCCAAAATGCACTATATTATATGTCTTACATGCCCATAATTTTGATCTGTTTATGTTGGAAAAAGCTGTCAGCAAGCACAGAAACATCGGAGCAGACGAAATACATGCCACTGGCAAGTTGTCAATCAAACCACGTGATGTAAACAATAAGCCATGTGGCGTGAATTGAGGCACAGCGTACTGTTCAGTATGAGTGAATTTACGTGGCGGCTTAGTGTACTAAATGTTAAAAAAACATAAATTCGTGTTTATAATATCCAAATAAACAGCCCATTTCATCAGATTTTTGGCCAAAGGACGACGCGTGAACACAATACAGCTGTAAACTTATGCCAAATCTGTATGCTTACTATAGAGACCGCTGAGCGTGTTGAACCAACTATGTCACTTCCTGTTTTAATAAAAATTAATTTCTCACTTACAAAAACTTTTTTGCTTGTGCTGCAGAGGGGATTATTTATCAATATATATTTAAGATTTATGTCCCCTTTAATTACTTGCACATTAATTTTTTCATAAACCATGAAGCAATTAAATTATTTATCACTCTGCTTAACCTATCCAGAAAATGTTCATTATCAAACTGTAATGACCCTACACCAAGATTCGTCACTCTCACTCAATTTGAATCAGTGTAATTGTTTTCCAGAGCATCAACAAATCATCATTCAACTAATGAACATCTACACCATGTCTCAAACATTCTACCTCAATTATTTAGAAGCAGAGCTATTCTTTTCAATGTTGCAACAAATTAAATAGCTATCTTTGTATGGCCGAAGTAGATCAGAGGTTGCCATGCAAGATACGCCCATATTTTGTAAGAGATGGAACAAACTGATCAAAATACAGATCTATATTTCGTTTCGTTTTTTATACTTTCGATGGCCTCTACTGCATGGAGATCTGACCAATTGTAGTGGGAGGTCATGTCAAGGGTCATACAAGCGGCTTTTGACCCTATGACATCAGACTTTTGATTAACCAATCAGCGTTGATGTTTCTACTGCGATACCCACAGGTCTGTGCACATCACTCCAAGAATTTGTCGCAAAAGACCGTTTCATTGGCTAATCCCTCACATCAAGCATAACTCTTCAAGATCCTAAAGTACTAAAGACAAGTAAAACGAAATTTTGAACTATAAAAAACAAAACGAAATAGGATCTGTGTTTTAACTAGATTGGAGATGGACAGAAAACAAGCTAAACAAGCCAACAGTGAGGCTGATGTCCCCCGCCGAAATCTCAAAATAAATAGATGACACATTAATTAATCGCACATTTATTTTTTTCAAAAGTATCGAGCAATCAAACTGTCAACTAAGTTTCATCACTCTCTATCGGATAGAGATTATCTTGTCCCAAAGCATCGACCAATGAAATTGATTAGCTCTGCTCAGCTTCAGAGTTCGAAATGTTAATGATTGAACTCAGTCAAGACATTCACCTAATGAATATCAAGTTTAACCATTCTACCTCAATTAAAAGCAGAGTTGTTATGTTCCAAAGTCTTGACCAATCAAATTGCTTATCGGTCCTTAGCCTAAGCAGAAAATTCTCACTATCGAACTTAGTCAAGGTAATGATATAATGAATCTATATTTCGAGTTTTATAGCTCTCACTTCATTATAACTAAAGTTATCGTGCCCCAAAGCATCAACCAATCAGATTGCTTATATCTGCTTACCGTAAGCAGACAATGTTCAACATCAAACTCCATCAAGGCATTTACCTAATAGACACCTACGTCAAGTGTGAACATTCTAGCTCAATTAGAATGAGAGTTATTGTGTTCCAAAGTCTCGGCCAATCAAATTGCTGCTTACCCTGAGCAGAAAATGCTCATTATCGAACTTAAACTTAGTCAAGGTATTGATGTAATGAAACTATACACCAAGTTTTATCGCTCTCACTTAATTAGAACTTAAGTTATCGTGTCCCAAAGCATCAACCAATCAAATTGCTTATCTCTGCTTACCCTAAGCAGAAAATGCTCATCTTCGAACTCCATCAAGGCAATGACCTAATAAACAATTACACCAAGTTTGAACATTCTAGCTCAATTAGAAAGAGTTATTGTGTCCCAAAAAGTGTGACGGACAGACAGGCGGACAGACGGACGAACCCACTTTTACACTATTTGCGTACGTGGAGCATGCCATTTTGTCCGGTAATTCAAACTTGAATGTTATTATTGTATAACTGTGATATATTTGAACTGTTTTTAAAATCGGATAAAAATAATGGGCTCTAGAGGTTCCACGCGCTAAAACTGCGATTTTTTGTACAATCCGATATGAGTGAATATTGAAAGGAGCCAAGATCTTTGGGATATAAACATATATTTCAAGTTTTATCAAAATCAGACAAAAATTGTGACCTCTAGCATAGAATCAGGGGCCATAATCCAGGAACTTAGGGTCCAATATGCGCGAATATTGAAAGGAAGCGAGATCTTTAGGACATGAACACATGTTTTAAGTTTCATCAAAATCAAATCAAAATTGTGACCTCTAGAGGGTCCACAACCTTGATTTTACATATTTTAACGCTACTTGCAAACATAGAGCTGCCATTTTGTCCGGCAGTTGTTGTGGTCCGATTTTCACCAAATTCGAACTAGAGTGTAACGGTGGTATATTTGAATGTTTTTTGGGTTTTTTTAAATTGGATAAAAATTGTGACCTCTAGGGGGACCACAAGCTAAAAATGTACAATTACAGGCCATAATCCAGGAAGTTGCGGTTCAATACGCCCGAATATCGAAAGGAACTGAGATCTTTGGGTTATAAACATACATTTCAAGTTTCATCTATATCAGATAAAAATTGTGGCCTCTACAAGGTCCACAACCTTGATATAGCATATATTAACACAATCTGCATATGTGGGGCTGCCATTTTGTCCGGCACTTTCGAAATTGACCGTCATTAGGGTGTAACAGTGATATATTCAAACGTTTTTTTTTTAAATCGGATAAAAATTGTGACCTTGTGATATCGAAAGGAATCAAGATCTTTTGGTTATAAACATGTATTTGAAGTTTCATCAAAATCGAATCAAAATTATGAATTTGAAATTTGAACTCAACCAACATTATGGCAAGCTAAAAGTGAAATCTTTCGTACAATCAAGGGCCATAATGCAGAAAGTTACATTCCGATATGTGCGAATATCGAAAGAAATCAAGATCTTTTGGTTATAAACATGTATTTCAAGTTTCATCAAAATCGGATCAAAATTATGACTTCGAAATTCGAACTCAACCAACATTATGGTGTAACGGTGATATATTGGAATGTTTTTTTTTAAATCGGATAATAATTGTGACCTGTAGAGGAACCACAAACTAAAAACACGATATTTCGTACAATCAGGAGCCATAATTCATGAAGTTACAATCCGATATGCACAAATATCTAAAGGAACCAAGATCTTTGGGTTATAAATATACATTTCAAGTTTTATCAAAATTATGACCCCTAGAGTTTCCACAAGCTAAAAACATGATTTTCTAAACAATCAGAGCCATAGACCATGAAGTTATGGTCCGATACATGCAAATATCGAAAGGAATCCAGAAAATGTGGGCGCATAATAGTATGGATTTTGTGGAACATAACAATGAACACTTTTCTAGTTAAATGCCATTGGTAGACTAACAATCATTTCATTTTCTTCCTCTGATACTCCTGCTTCCCCGTCAGATCCCGACACTGATCCAGATTCTGAATCTCCATCTTTATTCCCAGAACCTGGAACTTTTTTATATGGTTTAGTTCGCACTTTCATGAACTCTTCCTTACTTAAAAGATAAATGCCTCCTGCTGTTAATAATTTACCATGTCTTGTTTTTAGATGTCTTTTATAGGTATTTCTTGTTTTAAATTTCAATGGACAGTCAGTGCACTCAAAAGGCGTTTCTCCTGTATGCCGCCGTAAATGTTCCTATGAAAAGAAATTAACGTGAAATCATGATTGACCAAAAACAACAAAACAAAAGATAGGTTGCCAGGCAATAAAACAAACACCAACAGCAGTTCACAAAGGTTGAGTAGTTCACAAAGTTTCTCGCATATTTTATTCTTTTAGGTAATGGAAGCATTTACAAGATACAGTACCTCTCAAATTTTTCAGACCAAAATGGTGCGAACACAGCGGAAAAAAACACTAAGAAATCACGGTAAATTTTCGCTCAATTTCGATGCGAATTTCCGCCAGGATTCGCTCAAAACACAGTGTTTTCACTTGTCCCTCCATGTAGTTCTTTAGAAGGGGTGTCCATAATGTCTGGCAGTTTTGGTCCAATCTTCACGAAATTCGAACTCAAGCGCCATTACAGTGTAATGGTGATATATTGAAACGTCTTTTTTAAATCAGATAATAATTGTGACCTCTAGACTGACCACAAGCTAAAAACGCGATTTTTTGTATGTATCCAAAGGAACCAAGGTCTTTGGGTTATAAACATGCATTTCAAGTTTCAGTAAAATCAGATAAAAATTGTGACCTCTAGAGTGTCCACAAGCTAAAAATGTGGGCGTATAAAAACATAAACACAAGACACAAACCTTAAAATGGCTAGGATGACGGAATTTTCTGCCACAGTCCTTACATGTAAACCGACTCTGGTTATTATGTATTAACATGTGATAGTTTAGGCTGTGCTGACGTGTAAATGTTGTATTACATATTAAACAAATAAATGGTTTAATCCCTGAAAAATAAACCAACATTATTTGTCATTTTACATACATGGATAATTTCTTCACATAAAATTGATGGAAGAATCTGAATTTCAGTAAGGTTATTCCATATGACTAAATGAACAATCTTAATTATTTGGAAACAGTTTAGAAATAATCACAGAAACTTTGATGCCTAAAGTGTTTCTGAGATTTCAGTGTCAGGGCAATGCTGCTACATAAAATTATTTAAAAATCTGTCCTGTAAGCTGTAATATGCTGTAAGGTGCAATAACTCTGCATAAACTTGATGATGGACTTAATTAGGGTCTCTACAGTAAGAACGCCGTGAAGGTTTGATGAAATATGATTATCGTGTCGTTTTTTGTTGAAAATTGCCACGATAAATAACTTGTGTAGCAGTCGCTATTGTAAACATATCTATATTTCGTTTACCGTTTATTGGAAAGTCAATCCATAATATAAGGTAAACCAAGGTCATGCCGGTTCGTTACTACAAGCGCACGTTGTTAGCGCTACTCAATCCTATGTTGTAAAGTTATGCCGTAAATAAACCATAGCACACTCTCAAGATCTAGTTTTCATAGAACCCAACCGGACAATAAATATACATGGTGTCAGAAGTGATCACTTATTTACTGGTGCAAGTAGATTTGTGTGAAGACAAAAGAATTCTATGAGAGACTATAGGCTACGGTACGGCAACGAAAACTAAAATGGCGGCAAGTTTGGCTCAGGCTGCATTTTAGACAAGGGTCCATCAATCAGTTGGTTGAAGGATGAGGGATTGTATTCCAGATATAAGATTTGGAGACAACAATGCGAACTTTTGTTTACTGGTCCCATGAATAAACTTGAAGAGGATATCAAGTGTAAATATTTGTTGTTTTGGTCCGGTGAGTTCGGGTTAGAACTTTTTAACATTTGGAATCTTTCAGAAGCAGACCAAAAACGTCTTGAAAACTACTGGTTAAAGTTCGAAGAGTTTGTTAAACCCCAGTCTAATGAGTTGATGGCTTCGTGGGAACTTCATGTTATTAAACAAGGCGACTTATCTTTAGAAGAATTTATAGCCAAGTTATGTTTGTTGTTAAAAGAAGCAAATTACCCACCTGAGTATTATGATCGTTTTCTACGAGATTATCTTGTTTTCGGAGTTAATTCTGATAGAGTTAGAAGAGAGTGTTTGAAAATTGGTAATAATATAAACTTTGAGAGAGTTAAAAGTATGGCCAAGGCTGAAGAATCAGCAAACCAACAAATGTCAATAATTGAGAACAAATTGAACGAAAAAGAAACGTCAGTCTTACCAATAAATAAGTTTAAAAAGAAGTCTATGTTTAGTTCTAAACATAAGTCAAATAAACAGTTTTCTTATCAACAAGAGACAAACACAAACTAAATATCATAATATGAAACAAACAGAAAATTGTGGTAGATGTGGTAATAAAGTCCATTCTAAACAGTTTTGTCCTGCAATGAAATACAGTTGTAAACTATGTGGTAAACAAAGACACTTTGCTGATTATTGTTGGAGTACTAAAAATAAGCAGATTAATCAGATCAATTATACAGAAGTTAATGATGGTGGTAATGGAGTATCTAATCAAGATTACAGTTCAGTTTTTCTAGGCCCAATCGAAGTGTTACCAGTTAACGAAGAGCCACAAAATAGTGTTAATATTCTATCATGTAAGGAAAAGGCACTTCTTGAAGTTAAGTTTACTAACTCGGAGAATGATAAATATAATGTTAAATATTTATCAAAAGTTGACACTGGCGCCGAAACTAATATACTACCTTATAGTATATTTAGTAAATTGTTCATAGAAGACTTCAAATTACAGTGTTCTAAGCATAAACTCTTAGCTTTCGGTGGAACAGAAATTAACAGTAAAGGCGTTTGTGAAGTCTTAGTTGAATCTCCAAATGGAAGTTCGAAGTTAGCATGTTTTGAAGTTGTTGATATCAAAAGCCCAGTCATTATTGGTAATGTCTTAGCCCAGGATTTAGATCTTATAAACCTTAATTGGGAAGTTACAGCATCAAATTTGCCCTACAAAACTTCAAGTTCTGAAAAATGTACAGTTAAATTATTTGATGTAAATGGTATCAAGCATCCACTTCCTGTTACAAAAGAGTATCTTTTGAAAGAATACCAAGATGTTTTTACTGGTATTGGTAGTTTTCCTGGAGAGCCTTATCATTTAAATATCAATAATAATATACCTCCTGTACAACATGCCCCGAGACAAGTTCCTGTATATATGCAACAAATGTATCAAGAAGAATTGAATCGTTTAGAGGAACTTGGTACTGTTTGTAAAGTTAATGATGAATACACTGAATGGATTAACTCAACAGTGATAACCCCTAAACCAAATAGTCATAACATAAGAATGTGTTTAGACCATCGTGATTTAAATGTTGCTTTGTTACGTAATCCATATTATGTTAGAACGTTAGAAGATGTTATACCTCGACTTTCTGGTGCTAAATATTTCAGCATCTTAGAAGCAAGTAATGGTTTCTGGCAAGTTAAATTAGACGAGTCAAGTAGTAGACTTTGTACATTTAATACCCCATGGGGAAAATACCGTTGGACTAGACTACCTTTCGGTTTAAGTGTAAGTGGTGACATTTTTCAAAAGAGAATGGATTTTGTTTTTGGTAAATTACCAGGTTTAACTGGTATCGCGGATGATACTTTTGTTTACGGTTCAAATGAACTAAATCATGACAGAAATATTATTAATGTTTTAGATACAGCTCGTGAAAACAATATCAAGTTCAATCCAAGTAAATTTCAATTTAAAGTTCAAGAAGCGTCATTTTTTGGACACAAATGGACTCCAAGTGGTCTTAAAGTGGACGAAAAGAAAGTTAATTCCATTTTAGATATGAAACCACCAAATAACCTAACTGAGTTGCAGTCGTTTCTAGGTTTAATCAACTATTTACACAGGTTTTCTCCTGTATTAGCTCAAGTTTCAGAACCGTTAAGAAACTTACTTAAAAATAATGTTCCCTTTCAGTGGCAACAAGAACATTCTAAATCGTTTGATGAACTGAAACAAATCATAACGAGTGTTCCTGTTTTAACGTTTTACAACCCTGATAAATCTAATGTTATTCAAGCGGATGCTAGCCTAAAGGGATTAGGTTGCGTTTTATTACAAGATGGTCAACCTGTTTGCTATGGAAGTCGATCTTTAACAGACGCAGAATCGCGCTACAGTAACATAGAGAGAGAACTTCTTGGTGTTTCATGGTCATTAAAAAAGTTCCATCATTATGTTTATGGTAAAAAGGTTCAAATCGACACAGATCATAAGCCTCTAGAAAGTATATGGAAAAAATCCATTTGAAGTGCTTCTCCTAGACTACAACGAATGCTGTTACAAATGGCTAGGTACGAGGTTACAGTTTGTTACATTAAGGGCAAAGACAATGTCATTGCAGATGCTTTATCTCGCGTTAGTGCGATGTCGGAACCTAATGATAGTGATGATGTTCAAACTATTAACATTGATACAGTTACCAAAGATGTACCAGCAAGTCCTGCTAAACTCGAAGAAATTAGACAGTGTATAAGTGAAGACCCTGTCCTTTGTTTACTCAAAGAAACTATATTTAAAGGGTGGCCAAAATTCATATCGGTATGTCCTTCTGAACTTAAACAATTCTGGACATACCGTGAGGACTTGTCTGTTGAGAATGGTGTAATTTTTAAAGGTCATCGTATATTAGTTCCTCATAAGTTGCGTAATCAAATGTTAGATATTATACATCAAGGACATTTGGGTACTGAAAAATGTTTGTTAAAGGCCAAAGAATGTTTATTTTGGCCCGGTATTTCAAATGATATAAAAGATCTTACAAGTAATTGTTCTACCTGTTTACAGTTTAGTAAACAACAACCTAAGGAATCTTTACTGCCTCATAGTTTTCCTAGTTACCCCTGGCAAAAGCTAGGCACTGACTTATTTGAGTATAATAGAATTCACTATTTGTTAGTTGCAGATTATTTTAGTAAGTTTCCTTTTGTTCGTAAATTAGACTGTACTACTTCATTATTTGTAATTAATCATCTTAAGTCTATATTTGGTGAATATGGCATTCCCCAAACCATTATGTCTGACAATGGACCCCAATATAATAGTTCTGAATTTAGTAAATTTTGTCTTGAGTGGGGGATAGAGCACATAATAAGTTCTCCTTTATATGCACAGAGCAATGGTTTTATAGAAAGAATGGTGCAAACTGTTAAGAATCTTCTTAAGAAATCTGAATCTGCAAATCAAGATCCCTATATAGCTCTATTAACCTACAGAACCACCCCGATTGACAATACACTTCCTGCTCCATGTGTTCTTTTAAATAATAGAAATTATAGAACTCAAATTCCTTCTTTTGGTAAACTCCAAAGAACTCAGACCAATGAAGACTATTTAGTTTGTTTACAATCTAGACAAGATAAGCAAAAGATTCAATATGACAAGAAGCATAATGTTAATAATAGTAATCTAGATGTAAATCAAAAAGTTGTCATATATGATCAAAATTGTAAATCTTGGAATCCTGGTGTAATAGAAGGAAAGGCTAGTACGCCAAGATCTTTTATTGTGAGCAATGAAAAAGGAAACAAATTTAGACGCAATAGATCATTCTTAAAACCTGTTCCAGATATTAGTATTAATACAAGTAGAAGTGGTCGAATTATTAAGCATACCGACAAACTTGATCTTTAATATGCATATATGTTGTTAATTGGGTCTACATGTATTCAATTGTATTAACATTTAGGCATAATGTTCCATGATTAAATTTCTGTTAATGTATCAATATTAAAATAGTTTATTATGCTTTAAGGGGGAGATGTAAACATATCTATATTTCGTTTACCGTTTATTGGAAAGTCAATCCATAATATACTATTCCAAAAAAGTAAGGGATATTTGATTTTTAAGTGTTATTAAAGTCACCTAATGAAATTGACCAAGAAACAAATGACAAAATGAAATAAAGTTCACATTCATCGATTTATTCCAAATGATCGTTAGACTAAGTAAGGCACAGACTGACCATTATAAGGGTAAAATGATACCCGGGGTCAAACAGCAAAGTTACCACAGCATCACAACCAAGTCAGTAACGGGTAAATCCTCCTCTGTTTGCCAAACAAGCATTGATCCGACGTGGCATACTCCTAATGAGACGTCTAAGGTCATTTTGGTCCAGATTGTCCCATTCCTGTTGCAACGCAGCAGCAAGTTCTTGGACATTGGCAGGACGTTGTTGACGTTGACGTAACCCCTGTCCAAGCATGTCCCAGACATGCTCGATGGGGGAGAGGTCGGGACTCAGTGCTGGCCAAGGTAATGTGGTGATGTTCTGTTGTTGGAGGTAACCTGTAATGATCCTGGCCCTGTGACATCTTGCGTTGTCATCCTGGAAGATGAAACGGCGGCCATGACGTCGTGCGAACGGCACGACATGGACTGCCAAGATGTTGTCCCGGTAGTACTGGCCTGTAACACGCCCTGCAACAACATGTAAAGCCGTTCTTCCAGCAACAGTGATGCCTCCCCACACCATAACAGAACCACCCCCAAATCGATCATGTCTGATGACGTTAACGTCTTGGAAGTGCTCGTTTCGACGACGCCACACCCTCCTACGTCTGTCCAAAAAATCAACAGTGAACCTTGACTCATCTGAAAACATCACATTGCTCCAGCGTCGATTATCCCAGTGTTGACGATCCCTACACCAACGACGTCTTGCCTGAATGTGATGATCTCTCAAACAAGGGATCACGCGAGGACGTCGGGCGCGAAGGTGACCCCTATGCAGTCAATTCCGAATCGTCTGGCCACTCACTCTCACATCAGTGTCTGTTTGAAGACGAGCGCTGATCTGATTTGCTGTGATGACACGATTTCTCAAGGCCAAGGTACGGATAAATCGATCCTGGGCTTGAGTTGTCGCCCTTGGTCGACCTGAGCGTGGTCTGTCCTGTACAGATTGTGTATCACGGTATCTGGACCATAGCCTGCTTATGACAGACTGAGAAACATTCATCGTCCGCGCCACAACCGCCTGTGTTGTGCCGATCTGTAGCATGCCAAGGGCACGTAACCTTTCATTTTGGGTAAGCCGACGCATATCAAAATTTGTTTTCTGGTCACTAAAACAATTAAACTGATGTTTCCACCCTGGAATTCAATGCCACAATGACTGAAACATTCAAAGTCAGAGTCGTGCAAATCTTGGGTTGGACCCCCATGATGATCCCAAGCATCACCTGCATTCCATGCGGTAGCTATTGGTGCATTTGGGCGTCACATGTAACTGGAAATGTTTCTTCTGTTAGGTTCTATAGTGACTTTTTTCGTAGTCATTTGCATATTTTAGTATTATGCCCCCAAAATCAAATATCCCCTACTTTTTTTGAATGGTATATAAGGTAAACCAAGGTCAAGGTTGTGTATTCTGGGTCATGCCGGTTCGTTACTACAAGCGCACGTTGTTAGCGCTACTCAATCCTATGTTGTAAAGTTATGCCGTAAATAAACCATAGCACACTCTCAAGATTTAGTTTTCATAGAACCCAACCGGACAATAAATATACAGCTATCATGTGCCACAATAGTCGTGTGACACTATAGGCCTCGGTGTAATTTTACATGTAAAATTAACGGTGTTTATTTGTCATAAACAATCGATGTCAAAACAATATACTGCCACGATGTTATGAATGTTGAATAGTTTTGTTAATAATACGGACGCGTTTGGTCACGTTGTATAGTGAGAATACGCATGTTCACATATTCTGCACGATATATATGCGGTTATATTTCCGACCAGTCATGTAAAGCTGCATGTCTAGTACATTTTGAAGGACAGTATGCATAAGACTATACATGTATTACACAGTTTAGATATTAGATATTTATGCTGTGTTCAAATTGTTTTGCATATTTACTGTATTACTATTCAGAGTGTATAGTTAATAATTACTCTCAAATCACGGCAAAGATAGACTTTTAAATTGCAAACTATAAAGGTATTTTGTTTAGCGGTCTTACAAAAAGAAATAAGACATAAACAGAACTTGCAACCAGATTCGAAAGTGCTTTCAAGTCAGACATAAGTTTGTACTTACCGTAAAAATGAACTGAACGCGACATAAGTCTCCGATGTAAGAGAATATTAGTTAAAGATACAATATGTAAGATTTAGATAAAGAGCTAACCATTCTTGCTATACTAGTTCGAAAAATAGATAATGTAAAATATATAATTTGGAAATTTCATTCAAATTACTCTATTGCGATCGAAGATATTAGCCTTTGAAGGTTTGACAAGAGATGTGCAATAATTTCAACCACCGTACTGGTCTCGCTCCTCCATTTTTAGCTTAAATCAAAATATGGCTGAGCTGTGGCTGAGCTGTTCTAATCTATTTAATGTCGGAGAAATTAGATGCCATCGAGAGTTGGTTATGGCCTGGATAAGTTAATTAATGTCTAATTAATAATTTAGAAAAGATTTCAGGCCTAAAGAAAGACCTGCGGATTGCGTTACTAGAGAAGTAGCTGGTAGTCTACCAAAAACCGACAAAGAAGAAGAACACCACTTTGTTGAACCATGGAACTCCACTTCTGCTGCATCAATGGTACCAGATTTTAGCCTTGATGTATCAAATTTTTTTTCGACAACCAATGCCGATGAAGAATCGACAACCAATGCATATGAAGAATTGACAACCAATGCCGACGAAGAATTGACAACCAATGTTGAAGAATCGGCAACCAATGATATCGAGGTGTCATTCAACATTACTGACCGTGGGAGTATAAACCAAACCAGAGAGATCGCGGACATGTGAGTAAGTTAATTAAATGTGAGAATTAACTTATTTAAAGATGTTTACCGTGAGAATTACAGTGAGAATTAACTTCTTTAACGATGTTTACCATGCGAATTAAAGTACTTATTTAAAGTACTTTATTTAACTTAAATATATTTCAGATCTTTACCAGAAGACCAGCTTGACACAACAATTATGGGTGATCATTAAATTAGGTATGAAATAGTTTACTGATTACTGCTCAACTAGTTACTGATCACAAAACAACAATTGTCACCCTTTTTAACACTGTTATTTGTGTGTTTCAGAGATCGTCACCCGGGTCTACATGTTGGGTTTGTTCCAGAAAAGGTAGAAGTATACCTTGTTCGGCCACAGTGACACAACGTGGACTGATTTCAGTCCAAATGGTAACCATATTCATGACTGTGACCCGGCATTATGAAGAATACTAAACTTACGGCAAAGGTATGTGTGTTAAAAACTGTGGAATAAAGAGGGTATATGGAATAAATATGATGTAAGCAGGTCGTTTCAGAACGTATTTTAATAATTAATATACTAGTATTATATAAATGTACTATTTTATAATATAAATACTACTTTATAGTGTATTTATAATTATCCTTCTATGTTTCAGGTTAATAGAATTCATTGGGGATGAATTTCTGATTACTGAAGTGATGGTCAGTGGACATCGACATTTAATGTTTGCTACAAAGACACAGTTGGAATTATTAAAATCTTGCAAAATATGGTTCATGGATGGTATGTTTAAGGTCATGAGGAAGCCCTTTTCACAGCTGTGGATCATTCACGGTTTTCTGAAAAAGGGAGACTGAATGAAACTGGTGCCGCTATGCTTCGTCAAGATGACGAGAAGGACTTCTGAAGATTATGAAGAGGTAGGTTAATAATAGCATATATGGTAACTATTTATTTATGCATATTATTTTCATCTCTTATATGGTAACGATTTATGCATATCTTTTATTTTATGCATATTTTAATCTCTTATTTATTGTTTTACATATTGCAATCTTTTGTTATTGCAGGTACTGCTGAAGATAAAAGAGAAATTTCAACCGGTAGTGGAGTATGGCATGCTGGACTTCGAACCAGGTTGCTGGTCTGCTATAAAGAAAGTGTTCCCTGGTATGAAATTAAAGGGCTGTGTTTTCCATTGGATACAATGTGTTTGGAGGAAAGTTCAGAGTGTTGGTCTGGCGGGTTCTTACTACGAAAGGAAGACCGTTTATAACTACATCCGTACTTTGATGGCTCTACCTGTCAACCACATGGGAGTTGCCTTCGACAAGTTGTGTGTGATGGCAAACGCAGACCCTTTAAGGGAACTCGTTTCATATATCAGACAGACCAGGCCCCGAGTTCACAAACCATTCTCAGACTTAACTTAAGTTTACTCAAAATTGTTTGACTTATTTAAAGATACATTATGTAAGATTTAGATAAAGAGCTAGCCATTCTTGCTATAATAGTTCAAAGATAGATAATATAAAATGAATAATTTAAAATATTCTATGAGAGAGAGAGAAATGGGGTTTAACGTCCACTCCACACAAACTAGGTCATTTCGGGACTAACATATGGTTTAATTTTATTTCAACAATTCGCTTGCGCATAGGGGTCTTTAGCAGTGGGAGGAAACTGGAGGACCTGGAGAAAACCCACGAGGTTGGACAGGCGACCCTACTCCTTGTCACGTACAACAGGGGGTTCGAAACCACGCCAATCGACTCAATGACAGACTTTATGATACAGCGCGCACGCTAACCATTCAGCCATCCAACCCCCCAAAATATTCTATGAATGGCATTTAGTAATTGGAACATAATCAAAAACACAAAAGTGTGTTTTTGAATAATTTGAAAGTTTCATTCAAACTACTTTATGGCGAGCGAATATATTAGCCTTTAAAGGTTTGACAAGAGATGAGCAATAATTTCAACCACCATACTGGTTGGTCGAAGCTAACTCTCGCTCCTCCATTTTTAGCTTAAATCAAAATATGGCTGAACTGTTCTAATCTATTTAATATTGGAGAAAACCGATGCCATCGAGAGTTGATTATGGCCTGGGTAAGTTAATTAATGTCTAATTAATAATTTAGAAAACATTTCAGGCCTGAAGAAAGACTTGCAATGGGCAGATTTAGCTCTTGCATAATTTATGTTTAATTAAAATATAGCCCTTTATAAAACTTTTGTTGTTTTAATGTATCAAATAGATCAATGGCAGATGGTGGAAGAGGGAATCAATTTTCGAAATTGTCGAAAAACATACTGCAAAATAAATGAAAAGATGTTTGATGCTTGGGAGAAGTATACGGAGTGGCCTATAACAACAAGTGGTTTTCTGAAGTTAATTTTTGGGATGAAATGACCGTAGATGAAAGATAGACTATAACAACACAATTTTTAAAGGAAAAAAAAGTTACTGATGTATTTAGGCGATGTTTCGAATAGTATTCTCTCAAGTTCCTTGACATGTTGTTATTGTTATTAATGTATGAATAAAATATTAAAAATACCTGTTTTTTAATGTGTGGGATGAAACAACCCGATATAAGTGGGATGAAACGACCCGTGGAAATTTGGGATGAAACAGCATCCGTTGTCTCCAGTCGTTAAGACTACATGCCGCCTCAAATAACCCAATGTTGCCAAAAAGCATGCATTGTTCACCTTACAACAGGTTCCATTGATTTATGGTTTATTTTATAATTTATAATACCGTTTACACCACAATGTATTACGATTCACATTTTGGTATTCCAAGTTGATTATATATGCAAGTTGATTATATATGCAAGTTTATATGCAATATGATATTAATTTGGATGGGTATTATTTTTATATTTGTTTGTGATAAAGGCGGACTGATTACTCTAGAAAAGTTGGGTCTGGTTTTGTGCCCATTTGATGGACACCCCCCCGCGCTGAGCCTCCAGACTATTAAGGGTATTTAACATCTACAATATCAGTAAGGTAAGGTAAGTACTTTCTACATATTGCATACATTTTTAATAATGTACATTATGTAAGCGTTAAAAGATATCAGCTGAAAATGTAGCTGATAAATTCACGACAATGTTTCCTTATATTTGGAGTTGTTTAGTTCCATTGTGTGTACGGAAAATAGATTAACGATTAGTTTTAACATTATTTATGATGCCGAAACATATCAATCCAATTTGTCTTGTACGAGGGACGTTCGTACTATTTAAGAAATGATTTTTTGGCCCGACATACATGTACAAATAATCGTCATCTTATAAAATGCGGATTCAGTTTATCTAAAAGGAATTATTTTTGACCCAATATTAACTATCGCCAATTTTCTAAAACATGGGAAAAAGTCAATCAACAAACAATACAGGTTTACTTTATTACAAAAACATTTTGTCTAACATCATAACGTTAATCAACAAACAATACTATTGTTCTTTATTACAAAAATATAGCTAGTTGATTATAAATAAAACAATATAAACAACCAATGAGTAAAACTGATTTATTCCAATCAATTAAATTATATACGAGTGAAGTATTACATTAACCGTGTACCAGTTCGCTTGTGGACGGGTTAACTGACACCCGTTCAATTTATAAATTCCAAATACAAACTGCTTACCATATTCATGCCATAGATGATAAATATCCTATTTAATAAAACCGTTCCGTTTCCAATAATTATCACAGACATAAATATTAATTTTGATTGTTTTATCCATCAACACACAGAGTAAACATATAACAACCAGATCGTATGAATTGGAGCCTCTTCTGTCTTCAATAGTTATAATATTAATCAGTCTAGAAAGCACATCAAAGAGTGTAGAATAAATTGCCTAACAGACAAATCATGCTTTGTAAGTTGTCAAAGGGGAGTGGGGCTATTTAACGAATGACTTTGTGCACAATATAATGAAATAATTACCACAGGTGTAAGGAATGATTTTATTTGCAGAATATGTCAACTGCAAATATGATGACTAAACATAATTTTGTTCATAAGACGCTCTGCATGCATGAACCTTCAAGTCTGTACCGATTTTAAAAAAATTTAACAATCACACATAATATCCACATTCCTAAAACGAAACAGCAGCTAAATCATCCGGGCAGTCAACAAGAGTTGTCGCATATTTTTACTTTTTTCGGTAATGAAACATTTATAATACACTAAAATCTGATTAAGAGCAACAACTCAGAAAACCATTAGAATTTGTACTACCCCATGCTAACGTTTTGTATACAAAACTTTTAATATAATGGATTTAGCTGTCCAAGTCATAAAAATTCATTGAAAATCAATATACTTGTTCGTCTCAAGATCTTAAACTCTGTGTATCAATCTGAAGTCAATCGGATGATAACTTTAGCCTTTAGAGCGTCCACAAGATTTTTCAAAGTGATCAAGGGCCATAACTATGGCAGTAATTATCGCAAATTGCTGAAAATCAATAGGCTTCTTCATCTCATGACCTTAAACACTGCGTATAAATTTAAAGTCAATCGGATATTAACTTCAAAGTGATCAAGGGCCATAACTCTGGCCGTAATAATCGGAAATTGCAAAAAATCAATAGGCTTCTTTGTCTCATGACCTTAAACACTGTGTATTAATTTAAAGTCAATCAGATATTAACTTTGGCCTCTAGAGCGACCACAAGATTTTTTGAAGTGATCAAGGGCCATAACTCTGGGAGTAATTATCGAAAATCGCTGAAAATCAATAGGATTCGTCTCATGACCTTAAACACTGTGTATAAATTTAAGATCAATCGGATATTAACTTTGGCCTCTAGAGTGTCCACAATATTTTTCAAAGTAATCAAGGGCCGTAACTCTGGCAGTAATTATCGGAAATCAATAGGCTTCTTCGTCTGAAGACCTTAAACACCGTGTCTAAATTTAAAGTCAATCAGATATTAACTTTAGCCTCTAGAGCGTCCACAAGCAATTGTGGACGCTGGACGGACGGGGGCGACAACAATATACTACCACATTTAAATGTGGGCGTATGAAAACACAAGTTTTACCATAACACAGTAATCACAATTACTCATTACAAATTGGTATTACATGTAGCGGGTGGGGTGGGGTGAAATCACGACGAATAACTACTTAGATTGTCATATTGTAAGTGTAACTTTGTTTTCTTTATTTTGACATTCTGCTAATTGAGAAACTATTTGAGTAATAAATACAGGTTATTGAATGGACTGAAGCTACAAGGTAACCGTTTGTTGTTAAAGGGGCATCGATGTTCTGTCAATCGGTTTCTTTTGATGTCACATGTCAATTCTCATTATGGAACCTTGATTGACAGTATATATGCATCCAGACTCTTTGGTGCCGAAATGAAAAAGCCAGCAAGGTATTATCGGACTGATATGTATCCATGTACATGTATTCAACAAAGTTCCATATACTTGTTGACAGTAAATTCTGGCGTTGTGTGATTACATATCAGGAAACGAAGGCATTTAATTCATTTGTGATTTAAACCAGAAAAGATATATTAAATTGAGGTGTGATTTACCGATATTTGATGCCATGTGTGACTTATTTGTCAGTATGTGAAATACTATTTAGATGGATAAAACTACGCCCCGGTAAGACTAGCATATATTGGTGTGCATTTTATAATTTTTTCCGTAATTTGATTGAATTTGTAATGGTCCATCAATGCAAGTCTTACAAATGTCGGACATATTAATGTAGTAATAATGTATCGGTATAGGCATATTTCTGTTTAAAAGAAGACAAAATGACAATGCCCGGTTTTAAATAACAGAATTACCCTGCGATATAACCCTATATACAGTCCATGATATAACAGATCAAAGAAATGTGTACACCAATCTTCACATGTAGACACCTTTTCGAATTTTGCTGTGTTCTATTTTTAGGCTCAAATAACCCAACCATATCAGAAAGCATACAGTTTCACCTTACAATGAGTTCAATTGTTTTAAGGTTTATTATATAAAGAATAATATATTACGGGTCGCTTAATTATTTTTCGCCTTTATTTCAATTTCTTTCAACTTTCAACCACATTTAGGAAAAGAAACTAATCAATTTGAGGTACAAATCTCGTGCATATTCTAATTCTGGTTCGGCATATTCAGTTTCTTTCAACTGATTTCAACAACATAGGAAAAAGTACGAATGAATTTGAGGTATGAGGTGAAGTATGAAACGGCTCGTGTGAGGTACGAATGAACTAAATACGAAACAGCCAGGTTACGAAACAGTCTGCACCCGTTTGAAAAATGTGTTTATTCCTGTTTTAATTTAGAAATAGCCGTCAAAAGTTAGTCATTAATAAAAAGGTGCAACGCATTAACTGATCTATAATAATGTATAGCTCTACATGTACTTCACCGAAAATAAACGATCAGAGGCATGGTTTAATTAAAACACCGAGTCACACCATGTTTTCAACACCAAGGCAGTGCTATTGTGTCACTCGATATTCGCTTGGTGTTCACTGGTAAAAGAGAGAGAGAGAGAAAAAAAGGGTTTAACGTCCACTCGACACAAACTAGGTCATTTCGGGACTAACATATTGTTTAATTTTATTTACATAATTCGCTTGCGCGTAGGGGTCTTTAGCAGTGGGAGGAAACCGGGGAAGCCCGGAGAAAACCCACGAGGTTGGACAGGTGACCTACTCCTTGTCACGTACAACCGGAGAATCAAAACCACGCCAGTTGACTCAATGACAGTCATTATGATACAGAGCGCATGTGCTAACCATTCAGCCATCCAACCACCCGTTCCCTCTGTAAATGACAGAATTCCATGATAAAAAACATGGTAATATTGAGTTTCATCAACCCTTTGTGGCGTTCATACTGTATATACAAACATGAATATTGGTGACTGGCCAAATCTCAGCTAACTGCCTCTAAACATGAGATACACATATTGGTATCTAAATGATTGATGAATTGTCCAACAAAGAATTAAGTCAGCCAATCAAGGTCGATTAAGTAGTTAATCGGAGAGAGAGAGCAAGAGAGACAGAGAGAGGGAGGGTTTAATGTCCACTCTTGGAACTAACATATGGTTTAATTTTATTTCAATAATTCGCTTGCGTGTAGGAGTCTTTAGCAGTGGCAGGAAAATGGAGGATCTGGAGAAAACCCACGAGGTTGGACAGGCGACCCTACTACTTGTCACGTACAACCAGGGAATCAAAACCACGCCAGTTGACTCAATGACAGACCTTTCGAAAGAGCGCGCACGCGATAACCATTCGGCCATCCACCGCCTCCCCAGTAGTTAATGAAGGTAGGTGTATAGACACGATAAACACGTTGATCACGTAATTATCTAATCAATCCAGCAAATTATCAACAATAATCACTGTAACCTTGGTACCGTTTAATCTTGCGTAAATAGCGCTAATTTCTACTCGGTGTACAATTAT